GATTTCATTTACTGTCCCTTTTGAAGCTGAACAAAGGTGGTTGAATATGAAACTTAGAGTTGAACTAAAATTATGGAAATATTTGGATGCAGAAAGGCCTTTAATCTGTTCTGATGGGAATTTTTATCTGCCTTTTAAAAGGTACATTCAGACATTTAACTTTTTTTTACAAAAATATGTCTTGAAAAAATTTACTAGGAAAATAAAAGATTATTTCATTTGATGCTATAATGATTAAACCTACCACCTGAGTAAAGCAAGCAAGCTAGCTTTCGCATGGGAGATTGTTTCTATAACTTTGAATTATGTATGAATATCGCAGACTGGTGAGATTTAACTGTCAAGGGATTTACCTAGATAACAGACAGATCTATAACAACGTGTCTGTTTCTTTTGAATACCTTGCCTTCATCCTGCAAGTTCAGAAGAATAGTCTCTGTAGAAAATAGGACAGTTTTTAAGTGTTGGGTCAAATATATCAAATTGCAATGAAAAACTAGGCTTTAATGAAAAGTTAGTTAAATATTTTAAGCACAGTCACCCCTCAGGATCTGCTGGGGTTTGGTTTCAAGATTTTCTTTGGCCATATAGCCTAGGTGACCCTTATACTCACTATCTTACTCTGGCCTTGAACTCTCAGTTCAAGTCCTGCTTCAGCTTCCTGAGTGCTGTTCTTACAGAAGTGTCCCACCATGCTCTTTATAGGCTTTAAATGATTTCTATATCACTAATCATAACCTAGTCCAATGTAAATGTGTGACTAGTAATTTTCTGTTTTGTTTGGGGAATAATGAAAAGAAAATAAAGTGTATGTTTTCGTTATTGATCCAGGTTTTTTTTCCTGAATGTTTTCTATATGAGGATATAGGACCCAAGAACTAGCTGTGCAGTCAGATTTGTATTATCTTCCATTGTGAAAATAGAATGATTGCTGATGGTGACAAAGAGGCTAAGTCATTTTGACAGAACCTGAAGATTAAGGACTTATCTCATTACCATACTTATTACAGACTTTCCACCTTCTGCTACAGGACTAGAAACTCTTTTAAAAGCATTTAAAAATCAGAAATAAAAAAAGGTTCAACCTCTTCATGGGCCATTCATTACTTAAACATAGTTTTGTTTTATGAAAATGAATGTGAAATTTACTTACGTGAAAAATTGGTCAGTATTTTACTGTTTCAATACTTATTAGCATGTAGTAAGATTCTCAAATTATATTCCTTATGATTTTCCTTTTGTAGAAAATTTCACATTTGTCTCTTGAATGAAATGGAAGTTTCATCATCTCTGTTATCTCCTTCCTTATGGTGTCATTTGTTCAGAAGATCAAAATGACAGGAAAGCAAACACCAGCTTCAAATATCCACACATGTTTTCCATCACCTTAAACATCTCACAGTGAAATGTTGGTGAGGCATTTTGTTAGGAGATAAAGCCTGTATATAATATCTTATTAGAATTCGAGAAGATTTTCTGATTATTTGGACCATTTATTTTCTTTAAAAATTACCTGGAGACTAGGAGGAGGTCTTTCTCTCTTCTTTCCTGGCAGTTTGTCTGTATCTTGTTCATACTCAGGAGTGAGTTGCTTTTGCCTCCTGCTATCTCAACTCTTTGGATTTTTAGTCTTCATGTTACTACCTACACTTCAACTCTTAGAACCTCCCTTTTTTCCTCTCTTATTATTTTAATAATACAAAGAGCTGTTCTTCTGTCAAGCATTAAGACATGACATATCATTGATGCACTTTTTAAAGTTCTTATTCCTTCCAAGACTGTCACTGTAAATGCAGATTAAGTATTTCAAGATCCATTTGCAAATTCATAACACTTTTGAATAGATTTTTGTAGTTGATAATTATTTTAACTGGAAACCTAGTATACCAGTACATTTATTTAAGAAGTGTCTGTGAGAACTAACTTGGAATGTAGGCTCTGCTACCCTCGTCCTCAAAGGGTTAATAAATCTAGGTTTCACTTGCTTAGCTCCCCCAAGGTAATTTGGCACATCTCCAAGACCAAACCCCTATAGTAAAGGTCAAGGTGCAGTGGGTGTTGCAGGATTCAAGTGTCTCGGTATAGATTGTACAGCTTGGAACTCTTCAGAGCTCAGTGGCCTCTGCTCTGTTGGTTTCAGAGCATGGCTAACAGATTTGAAGAGACCCTGTGAAAAATGTCCTTCAATGGGGAATTGTGTGAGTGAGTACAGTGGGTGAGTCTTTGATATTTCTTCCTTTTTAGCATCTATGTTTTGTTTGTTCACAGTGTTAGAGCAAAGTTCTGTATTAGGTGTGTGGGGCAGACCCAGAGACTGCAGTGGTTACCAGCATCTGCTCTTACAGAGGTTTTCACAGTAGCTGACCCCCAGCACCAGTGTAGAAAAGCAGGCAGGGCAAGCACGTGACTATAACCAGAGCACTGGATGATGGATCACATCTGGCCTAAACAGTGAGCTCCAAGCTCAAAAAGGATATGGTGGAGAGTAGTAGAAAAAAACAGCTGACATCAGCCTCTGGCCTCCATAGACACCTGCGCAAGCAAGTGCATGCACACATATGTTCATGTGTGCAGCATATAAATAAACTAACTTCAAGAAAAGAGGAAGGACCAAACGCAAGTTCAGAGCTTAGGGGCCCCTAACAGCTTGTTTGGCATTGAACCCAGGTCCTAGGGAGTGCTAGACAATCACTCTCCCACAAGCTATCCTCAACCCTTTTTAAACTTCTGTTATTCTGAGACTCTTGCTGAGTTGCTCCTGCTAGCCTTGTTGTCACACTGGAGCCGAGACAGGCCTTGAATTGGAATCCTTTTGTTTTAGCCTTAGAAGTAGCTGAGATTACAGAACTGTACCACCAAACACAGAGAGGGCCGACAAGCTTTCCTCTGCCTCCCCAGTGCTGGGCTTGCAGGAATGTGCCTCCTTATGTCCAACTTTTTATGAGTTCTGGGGATCTGAATACATGTCCTTTTCCTGCACGGTACATACTGTACCAACTTCATGGTCTCTCCAGCCCCCAGGCTTCTGTAAGGGAATCTTTATTTGTGTCATTAGAACATACATCAGCTGCAGACAAGGGAGTAGTCTGAAGGAGTACCTTCTTACCAATCCTTTATTATAAAAATTATGCATGTGTCTGGACAGAAATATAAGACTTGAAATCTGCTGGCTGCACAACCTCAGAAATACTCTTTCCAAGCCAGCAGAACCAGGGGTTTTTCTTTATACCAGTAGTGTGCAGTGAACTGGAAGTTCTATTATGGGCTCTAGCTCCTGAGGATAGGAAAGCCAGGAACGAATTGCTCCAGCAGCAGTCAACAGAGCAATCTGTGTAAAAGTGCTGCCTCTTCTCAATGGGCTGCCTTAGTCATCAACGCAGAAACGAGGCCTTCCACACAAAACTGATTTCTCATGACATGGACAGCATAAGGAGACAATAACAAGGGAGCTCGGCTTCCATGCCTCAGTAAAGACAAAGTGAAGTGACACTTCCAAGACACTCTCAGGCACCACTTCACGTCAAGACTGGATATTACTGAGTAGTTATGCACATACTTAAAGAGAAAGAAAATATTCTTTTCTAGGCAAAAGTTAATAGAAACCATTTCTAATTTCAAGGCAGTACATATAAAGTGACGTGAAAATATCATCCCTCCTTTGAGAGAAAAAATGTTAAAGCTCCAACATCCTACTTCTACAGTCAGATTTAGGAGAGCCAGTGTGGCCAGTCAGTGAGCTAGGTTCAGTAAGAGAAAAAAGCAAGAGAAATAATTGAGGACCCTCAGTGTCATCCTCTGTCCTGAACACATACACCCGTACATGCAGCCCCCACCCAAATGTTTCTTATCCTTGTTTCTCTTTGCCCATAAAAAAATTCAAGAAGAATGTGGTGAGGATATTATAGTCTCTGAATACTTCTCAGACCCTGAAACCCTCAAAGACACCTGATTTTAATGTATTTCATTGGCCAGCAACATGAGATTTGCTGACAGCCATTTTATGCTCCAGCAATTAGTGGCCATTTGATCCCTTTGTACTTCATAGCTACAGAACTAACATAGTTTAGGTAGGGAGGGGATAGGGGGAAGAGTTAACCAAAAGTGAATGAGCTGGCAGTATTTGAAAAGAAAGACTGGTCTTTAACTGATTCGTGACCAGCAGATTCATATTCATAAATGAGATCAGCCAAAGGATTAAATGGTCCTTTACATTTGACTTCCCTCCCACACCCATATAGATAAAAACTGATGCTTCTGTCTGCCTGGCATTAACTTACCAAAAACAGTGACATCCTTATTTGCATAACATAAGCACGGTTTTATTCCTAATTCTTTCTGAACACTTCAGTAAATATTTTAACATGTAGCAAATACTATGTGGTAAGTAAAGTAAATAAAGTGTGGCATTTTCTATAGAAGTAGAGTACTATTAAGTAGTGTAATAAATATAGTAAATACACCGGCTGATTTACCAAATTCTTGAGTGTTTTTCTTTTTAACTGGTTAAGCATTCTTCTTACTGTTGTTACCTCTCCTATTTTAAAAAATGTAGATTTAGTATTTAGACTTTCATGTATAAAAGCCTCAGGCTTTCATTTAATTGTTCTGTTCCTTGCCTGTCCCTTCTCCAGCTCCAAGTGAGTCTACCTTACCTCAGTGAAGGTAGGGTAGAATCTCGGTTGAGCATGAAGCTGCCTGGTCTCTGCTCAGCTGATGACCCACTGCTCTGGTCATAGGACTATTTACTCCCATTGGCGGAAACATGTCTTCCATAAATCTCATTTTTAATATTTATTTGTTATTCTTTCTAGTTAGCTCTGACTGTCTGGAAACTTGCTATATATAGGCTAGGAACTCTGGCCTGAAACTCACAGAGATCCATCTGACTCTGCCTCCCAAGGGCTGGAATTAAAGTCACGCACCACAATACCCTGCCCTATGAATCTAAATTTTAATGGAACTTTTGAATTCTAATTGATGAGCTGTCTGGTTTGTTTCAGTCGCGTGACCCATGAAGTGGCTGAGGAATTTTCTCCTAAGGACCCAAAAACCCTTGTTGTGAAACAAGATGGCACTTCAGTCACACCAGCATTGCCGCCACCTGATCTGGAAAGGGAAGAAGAAAAAGATGACACTTCGGATCCTCTAGACCTGAACTCCTGCAGCGCAACATATAGCAACTTAGGTAAGTGCAAATAAAAAGTATTTAAACCTTGTCTTTTTATGTACTGGCTAAATGTTTTATTTCCCTGGAGGATCAAATTTTGTACCTTTGGCCGGGCTTTGGTGGCGCACGCCTTTAATCCCCAGCACACAGGAGGCAGAGGCAGGCGGATCTCTGTGAGTTCGAGGCCAGCCTGGTCTACACAGCGAGTTCCAGGACAGCCTCCAAAACAATACAGAGAAACTCTGTCTCGAAAAACAAACAAACAAACAAAGAACCTTTTACCTTTGGAGTTGTAAATTTACATTTACTTCAAAAAATAGTATTTGAGTTTTACTAGGTTTGTTTTAAATGTCTGCTACCATGAGCCTGTGCCTTGTGCTAAAGATGCTGACCCCTGCCTTGAAGGAGCCAACCTGAAGAGAAAGAAAGAAACTTGAATTCAGTATAATATGATAAATAAAATTGTGGAAACACACAGAATATTTTTGATACACAAGAAGGGTGTCAAAAGGAACCTTCCTAGAAATCATTCCTGAGCTGATTTAACTTGTTGTCAGAGGGAAGAAAGAATGTTTCAAACAGGCAAAAAGTGAAGAAAACCGTGGAAATACTGAATAGGCTGGTGCCACCGCCATTTAAGGTTGCTGTAATGTGGGACGTTAGATAAGATGTATTTCAAGTTGAAATCTTAGACCTTTTATTATTTGTGATAGTGACCCATCAAAGGGCTTCAAGAAGACAGATGACATTTATGACTTAAAATGGGTACACACAGACGTGGTATTTGTTAACAGGTGGTATTGCTATGGGACTATGAGAGAATGAGAAGAGGGAGCCTAAATTAAGATAGAGAGAGAGAACAGTAAACAAATCAGAGAAGTATTTTAGGGCAAAATACGCATGAGGTAGGATAATGAGAAGAACAGGATTTCTGACTTGGGTCAAGCAGACTAGAAGTATGAGTCCTGTCAGTGGAGGTGTTTAGGCAGAGGCTGACAGGCTGTGTCACAGACCTACTGTAATGGAGAATGTCCAAGGAGTGTTAAGCAGAATTGCTTCAGAATTGTTGCAAAATGTCCTCAGATCTCTACTTTCCTCACTGTCTCTGGAATTCCCAGTGACTTCTGAATTGTCTCCCTCCCTTGAGTTTCTTTCCTTCTGGAAAAGGAAGCCTGGATCAGAATAAGTTTTTTGAGTTTTGTTACTGTTTTTGTGGGGAAGAGGAGGTGAGTAGCATGGACTGCCTGCAGTATAGTGTGCCAGCAAGATTCTAATGAGTCGCTGACCCATTTGGAAACCACTGGAGTATGTCTCTGAAGGACCTAGTTTCTCATCTCCTTTCTTTGTCTTTTTCCTCTGTTGTGTTATTTTAAAGAAAAAGATACCAAAATCAGCTAATGTATTTGAAAATTGGAAATATTAGGTTCCTTAATTAACGAGTCCAAAAGATCAAAGCAAATAGGAGAAGTGCTCTATTCTCCTGTTGGGAGACTCAGTCAGAACAACCCCCAAGTCTTTTTCTAACTTCAGTTTCAGTAGATTTTATAGTTGAATGGCTTATTGAACTTTTCTCATTCTAACATATTTTAGAAGTACATAGTAAGATGAAGTTTTTATTTACTTTGTGTCCTAAAATAGCCTATTAGGAATTACATATTGTAGATATTTTGCTATGCCAAGATTTCTTTCATGACAGCTTCAGTAAAATGTATCACAATTTTTAGGAATCAATAGCATATGGCGTCTCTTCTTAAGGTTTCTATTAGCAACTGGGTGTGGCAGCTGATACCTATAACCCCAGCTCTTATGAGCCCAAATCAGGAGAACTGTGACTTTGAGACTAACCAGCGCTCCATAATAAGACTGTTTCAAAAGAAGAAAGAAAAAGTGAGACATGGTGGCACATGCCGTAATCCCAGCACTTGGTAAGTGGAGGTAGAAATCTCAGGACTTCATTGTCATCCTCAGCTAGAGTAAAGTTTGAGGCCAAGCTAGACTACATGAGACCCTAGAGAGAGAGAAAGGAGAGAGGAGAAATAGACAGAGACAGTTGTAAGTGGCCATGTGGGTGCTGGGAATTGAACCTAGGTCCTCTAGAAGAGCAGCCAGTGCTCTTAACTGCTGAGGAACCATCTCTCCAGCTCCCCCCTTTTTTTTTTTTTTTTTTTTTTTTTTGGTTTTTCAAGACAGGGTTTCTCTGTATTACTTTGGAGGTTGTCCTGGAACTTGCTCTGTAGACCAAGCTGGCCTCAAACTCACAGAGATCTGCCTGCCTGTGCCTCCCTCTTCCCCGCCCTCCTCCCTTCCTAACTTTAAGTTTAATTATTTTATCTCATTGTTAGACTAGGAAAGGGAGTCAGGGAGCCTGGACCAAGTTAGATCCCAGAGAGCCTTAGGCATTCATGACTCTAATACTCTCGATCATTAAATTCTTGTAAAACACTGTAGGGCTGGGACCTATAGATAGAGAGGAGAGAAGAGAAAGAGAGAGAGAGAGAGAGAGAGAGAGAGAGAGAGAGAGAGAGAGAGAGAGAGAGAGAGAGAGAGAGAGAGAGAGAGAGAGAGAGAGAGAGAGAGAGAGAGAGACAGTTGTGAACCACCATGTGGTTGCTGGGAAATGAACTCAGGACCTCTGTAAGAGCAGTCAGTGCTCTTAACCTCTGAGCCATTTCTGGTTTCTCTGTGTTAACAGCTCTGGCTGTCCTTGAACTCACTCTGTAGACCATGCTGACCTCGAACTCACAGAGATCCGCCCTGCTTCTGCCTCCCAAATACTAAGATTAAAGGTGGGTGGCACCACTGCCCTACAAGGCTGGAACTTTTGAATCATCAACTTTCAGGCACAAAATTTAAGACTAAAAAATTATAGTTACTATCCAAAAATTCAAGATGTCCTGTGAGAAAGATTAATTTCCATTGAGTTTATTTAGCTCAGTGGTAGTGCTCTTGCCTAGCAATCATAAGATCCTGAGTTCAGTGTCCAGGACCAGAAGGAGAAGGAAGACAGGTGAATTTCTTTCCTTTGTCATGTATATGATGCCTATGTTATCCAGTCTTCCTTTGGGATTTTTTAAAATTATTTTTATTTAAAAAGGGAGGGGGGAATTGCAAGTAAAAAACATTATACACCAAAATTAAGCAGACTCCTGTCTAGCCATGTCATTGAATGTAGTGCAGCCATTCTGAAGCTGTTGAGCTTCTGGTGAGTTTTACACTTTAACTATTTTTATGGGCTTATCAACTACCAAAAAATGAAAAATCCATGACAAAGTTAGAACTAGAAAAATAATTAGCTTTAAGCCTTCTTTAAGTGCTTAAGTAGCTCTGGCTTGACTTGGTATAATTTGATACATGTTTAATTTTTCTGCTTTGAAGAAGTAATAGTTAAGGTTGGTTCCGTCAGCTCTAGAAGCTGAAGATTTGGGTTTATTGCTGTTTTCCCTGATGGAACTAGTATGAAGGTGACATTTGGAGCTCCTTTTTTTTTTTTTTTAAGACATTCAGCAAATCATCTCTATGCAGTTTTAAACTATCCCCTTGGGTAATTGTTTATGATTTAAAGCTCTAATAACTTTTTATTTTTAATGGTACTGTTGACCCATACCTGTAATCCCGGCACTTGGGAGGTAGACAGGAGGTCAGTAATTCAAGGCCAGTCTGGAAAGCATGGGACCCTTCCTTAAAAACAAATAGGGACCCGCAGGGGAGCAGGGAAGATAGCTAAGTGGGAAAGAGCACTGGGTGTGCGGACATTAAGACCCTAGTTGAAATCCCCAGCACCCACATAAGAAGTCAAGTTGAGCCACACATGCCTGTAACCCCAGTGCTATAGGGATAGGGATGGGAAGCTTGCTGGAGCTTGCTGGATGCCAGCCTAGCCCCAGGTTTTGTGAGAGACCCTGTCTCAGGGGAGTAAAGTAGGTCATTAGAGCAGGACACCCAGCATAATGGTGACTTCACTCTGGACGGTGATCACATGGATCACAGGATGAACTGGCCATTACCAACTTCATGGGACCCGATCTGGACTTCACAGCATGTCTGCACCCAAAACAATTTTCCAAAGAAGTGATGGAGTATCTCTTTTATTAAATTTAATATTTTCCTGTTTCTCATGTCTATCTTAAAATGTCTTGAATAAGGATCACTGGTTATCTTTTATGTAGGCATGTCTGACTACTTTATTTTCTTGCTAGAGTCACAAGTACGTAAGAAGTTCTACCCTGTTGAAACCCAACTGATAACTTTAGGCCTCCTTCGTTCACTTTGTAACTAAATACTCTATTCATTGCTTTTTTAAGAGCTCAATCAAGTCTCCCTTTACTCCACATATTTTTGGCTTGTTCCTCTTTCTGTATCCCTACAGCCTAGCACATTATCTAAAACACACAGGAGGTGCTAAGAATGTGTTTGAATAGATGAGCTAAAAATGACTGCTGTGTTTGACTTTTGAAGATTCCCAGATGAAAGAATCTGACTGTTCCCAGGAAAGTTCATATAAGATATTTCAAGGCATAGCTTATATACTTTATTAATCTGACTTGATTTTTCTAATATTGGATTTAATACATAAATTACCTAATTAAGGAACTATATGAATTTTCCCTCTGTCTCCTAAGAGTCTCCATAAGAATTTGTGCACATTGATGCTGTGGTTATGGAGTGCGCCATTCAAAATGCCAACTCTTAAGAATATACAATGCATATTTCCTCAATAAATAGTTAGTGAATAGGTATCATTCCATACATTGTGGTGTTAAATTATTTGAACCAAAGGCTAAAGCATTGCAGTAAAAGGCTGGCAAAATGGTTTAGCAGGTAAAGGACTTGCCACCAAGCCAGACAACCTGAGTTAAATCCCTGGAATACCCATTGTAGAAGGAGAAAACCAGCTATCCAAAGTTGTTATCTGAGCCCCAAACCTGTGTATATGTGCACACAGGCACAAGCACACGTGCGCTCTCATGTACACACACGCACACACACGCACACACACACACACACACACACTATAAATA